TGCGTGTGTGTACATTTGTGTGTTGCATTTTAGGTGTAAGCTTATCAGAGCAGAGTTTTATTAATGTGTATATATTTATATATGTATATATGTGTTTTTATAAGCTCGTATTTCAGTCTTTGCTTTTACATATCCTGTAATTCATTGCAATTTGCAAAAGGTAGATGCTATATGTATGACGATGTATGTATGTACTTGAAATGATAATATCGTTAAGCTTTTAATATTTCTATTTGATTCAATTTGATATGCTAAAATTACAGGTGCTAATTTGCCTTAATACTTTTAGAATTGAATTTTGAAATAATAATATGCTACTATTAGCATTTATTATTAAATTTTTCGATTATCATGCTGAGTCGATACAGCCCTGTCCGTTTGTCCGTCCGTATGAGCAAAAGAATCTCAGAAGATATAAGAGCTAGAGATAACTCGATAACTCATCCGATAACTTTTTATCGAGAATAATCGGAAAATCTACTTTGTTTTTTCAGCCTAATTTGAACACCTTTAGACATGGAGACTTCAAATGAATACGCAGATTTTGTGATTTACAGATTTTGGATACCACGCCCCCTTTGCCCCAAATTTTCAAGTACTAGAGACTTGTGCTTTGGAATGTACACACATTCTAATCATATGATCACGCTCTGAAGGTTTCATACAGATAGTATGACTACAAGAGAAATTAATCAACTAATAAATTCTCATAATATTGCCCACAGTGTAACGCAGCCCAAGCGCAGTCGCTGCTTACTGCGCAGTTAGCAGTGCGTACATAAAACAAGTGCAGAATGATTGGAATATCAGCTTCGAGGGCTCAGGGTATCTCCTAGTCGAGCAGTCTCGACTGGATCCTTCTTAATTGTTTATGTTCTGGGTGGAGCTTTCATCTTAAAAGTTCTATTTTGTGCGTACTGGGTAGCAGTAAGTCGATCAGCTTTCCGAAAGTCGTTCGTAAGTTGAAATATGAACCCTGTGCAAGCAATTACGGAGTCGAGTGAAGTCCGGCACAACAACAACAACAACAACAACAACAACAACAACCACAACAACAACCACAACCACACGCCCTTTATAAACAAAATTACACAATTTAAGGTAATTGTATTCTCACTGCAAACGTGTTGCGTAAGTTTCAGTTAACTACAAATTTACACATACATACATACATAAATGCGTACGTACACATGCATATAAATACATTTACAAGTGACACCTGACAAAGTGATATTGGATGTTGACCGAGGAGACCTATAGCATTTATGTACATATGTGCTATCTATTATAATCCTCAGGAATACTGAGATAATGAAACTTTTATTATGCTGAAATTCAACTAAATACAAACAAATCGAATCGAATGAATCACAATCAATTGTTACGATATCCATTCAGTCGATCTTCACTTAGTCGTCGCAGATGTTGCTCCTAATCATCAATATATCTACATGTGTATATATGTACATATATTGCACTGCACCCATTTCCATTCGGATTTTTAATAAAAATTCACAATTTTACTTAACTATATTGCCGTTCGTTATATAATGATATTTTGATCATTGGCTAGCATAATTAATAATTATTATTATTGCCAAAGTGTATCAGCTCTAATACATAAATCGTTTTAAAATATGGAAAACAACCCCGCTTAGAAATCGGCAGCCTTGGGCAAAGCCCGCCTCCCCCGACTTTATTGTTCGCTGACTAACTAAGTACATCTGCCACATTGTTGGCAATCTGGTCTGTTTTTTCAAACACTAACATAATTTTGTCATTATTTACGTCACTGGCTTGTAATTCGTTCAACCCTCTGGGGGCTTGCGCTCTCGCCCCTCTTCGTCTCTCGCTAGCGAAGTTAAGAAGTCCTGCAATCATTTGTTCCGTTTCCCATAAGGGAAACATTGGCATTAAGCTTAACAATCTGTACATTGTTACTGTTTCGTGTTTTCGTGTAACCATATTATCTTTAACGAATTGTCTCTAGGGACAATCTTCCTTTCAATTATGCCATTCACACGCATAATATAATTGAATGTGCCAGCGTTTCCACACAGAATGGACGTTCCTCGCGCAGATTGAATACATTTATTTCAGTCATATATATATATATATATATATATC